GAGAGAGAGAGAGAGAGAGAGAGAGAGAAAGAGAGAAGTCTAGGGACGACAAAACCCAGATAGCTTGGCAGGCAATAGTCTATGTCCACGGGCACGGCAACACATTCTATACCTGCTACGAAGTTCAAGTCATCGATCTGCACGGCTCTCTAGACTGTAGTCTACTGCTGTGTGACTAGATTTTCTCTAAGGAGAACCGCAGTGTAGCCCCCAATCGCTCCGGGCCATACACAAGGAAGGAGGTCCCCCCGATACGCTCTCCAAGCCCTCTGATGTGTGTTGTTATGTTTATGACTCGGTCTTTGCAGTAGGCCCCGGGAATGAAGCTAATGGACACCATCCCCTCCGAGGGAGTCAAATTGTCCACAGGTGCGCAGAAAGTAGGACACTGCAGTCGTACCATAGTTCGCTAGACCAATATGCAGCCCATCACCGAAGCGTGAGGTTCGTTGCATCCATGGCCTTTGGGTTGGCACGGTGCAAGTGGGTGCACCTCGCACCTCCCTGTGGGATCTGCCTGACGCGCGAGGAACTGTTTGTGTCAGCATAAAAAAAACGAGAAAAGGCGTTTCCCATCCTGCCCCTCTCAGCTCTTCGCCTGCCAGCTCTCTCGCCCAACCCACAACCCTTCCCCGCAGCCTTGTCGGGAGGGAACTTCGCCGAAGCACCTTAGCTGGAGAACACAGCCGCCGCAAGAGAGCACGTTTGCTCTCTAAGATCGGTTTGATTGGTGTGACATTTACAGTTCCTCCGGCGCATGAGCTACCTTACCCTCTTCGACCGAAACAAGCTGGCTAGCTCTCCCACACGCTGCTGGTACCGCCGTGATACCGCGGTAGTCCCCGGCAGATCGAGGACGAGCAGTCTGGATCCTCCTACTCCCCGCACCTTCCTCTTCTCCTTCCTTGGTGAGTCGCAATCCTGTGTAGCTGCGTGGAAGTGTCGGACTGCAGCAGGGTTTGAGCTCGTTTGTCTGCAGCAGTAGTATTTCCCTTGTCCATAAGAGTGGAGTATTACATGTAGCTGTAGTGCCTTGACTTGCTCGGCTCTTCTGTGGCGGACCATGGAAAACAGCAAGTGCTCCTGTAGTCTTTGGTTGCACATTAGGCGTTGGAGTAGCCGACTTCGGGTTTTCTTTTATCTGTCAGCTACTGCTGTACCGCCCTTCATCTGGGAAACAGCAGCGTTAGACTGCTGCTGTGCCAAGGGTGCAGTCTAGACTACATGTACTGCTGTACACGTTTCGGTGCCCACAATCCAGGCGGGGGGCGTTCGTGTAACAAAGTGCCCCTCACCAGCGGCGCGGGGGCTAACTTGCCACAAGAATAGTCTCGAAGAAGCTAGACTACTGCTGTAAATCGAGGACGCCCCGTTCCGCAAACGATAAACACAAATATGACCAACGTTTTTAACATCTCTGGGACCGCAGCGAAGCAGTCGAAGCAGTCGAAGCAGCAGCGACGGCCGTAGTCGCAGCAGCAGCCTTGGAGTCAGAAACAACCCGCCGGGCGTGAGCGGCAGGTATGCCCTTGACTGACTGGTTCGCGATCGATCCTGAATGCTTGGTGTACTTGCTTGCCATGCTCTAATTGTATTGACCCAGTTTTTAGCTTAGCGGTTTTCGTCGTGCAGATGGATGGAGTGCGCGTGATGGCTACGGGCAGGGTGGTCTGCCGTAGGCTACTACTAGATGGTAGGGGAATAGGTAGTGAGCCGCGGGGTGGCTGACTCAATTAGTCTATCTATCTGCGATGCTGATGTGTGAAGGCCTACACACGGCAGTGTGAAATATTTGTGTGTACAGGTATTTACACCAGGGACAGGCGTGCGACGGGCGGGACGAGGGTGTCTGCAGCTCCCGTTCATATGTTTGCACACTTTCAAGGGGCGGTGTCTTTGCCGTTCATGCCACACACCACATGAAGCACCAAAAGTTTTTCCGCCGTGCGCGGACGCACATCGGGGAATAGGCACTCATATCCCTGGCGGCGAGCTTATCACGCCGCCGAAGAGCGCCAGTAGCAGCGTTGACATGAACAGATGCGGCAGGCTCACATAATACCAGCTACACTGACTCGTTTCAAGCCTGCCGAATTCCCAGCGGACTGAAAGCAATCCTAATTACTTCCCATGCACCACCGAAAGCCATTTATGGGTGTCGAATCTCACGAAAAGAGACACAACAGCATCAACAGCAGGCAGGGCAGACGGCTTCGCGAAGACATTCAGTAGCTGGGCGCACACACGCAGCCTGAACCGATCCCGGGCAGCCATCCTGAGAACGCACAGCAGCAGACCCTCACGCCCTCGAAGTATTCTCTCAATTGTTGGTGTACTCTCGGCATGCGAAAGTGTGTTTTTGTTGTGTGCCTGAGATCTCATCACTCTGCCGTGTAGAACAGTCAGGTAGAACCACGCAACGTCAAAAATCAACCCACCTGGTTACACATGGCGTGTACGACTATGCCCGCGGCACGCATGTCGTATAGGCTCGGCCCCTACTGTTGTTGAAAGCTGGCCTCGGGTCTGTGAGTCCCACGGTGTTGAACATGTAGCTGAGGACACGTCCTGGCTGTTACTTTTGTTTCTTCTCCTGCTTTGAATCGCGCGCGGGAGGTCTCGCTTTTTTGTGGTTCCCCCTTTCCTTGATGAACACCCGGAAATAGGGAGAGGTAGCTTTTCCGAATTTTGGGCAGAGACGCCTGTGTAGAGCGGCCATGTGCTGTCGGAGCACGACCAAACCGGTGTGACGAAGAGTGTTCGATTTTTCTTCCTCATCAGAAGCCAACAGATCGTCAATCTATTGGTCTTGGTCGGGTCAAAAGAAGGTCTATGTAGGGCCCTCGGGAATCAAACGTGGGCCCCAGCATCGCGTTGGACCTGCAGATGTTTAGAGCATTTTTCCCCACCTGGGATGAAGGGAAAGGTTTTACCTCCTGGTATGAAGGGACAGGTCGGGCTTCACTCTCCGCGGGTCATTGTAACTACATTCGGGAGGATTACATTTGTTTTTTTCCTTCATCTTGCAAAAAGTGTCTTCCTGCCGTAACCTGTTGCGTACCCGCACGAGGTTCTGGGCCAAAAGAAGGAGCCCTGCTTGTTCAAACAACAGTGCGTGGTGTTGAGGTGCACAGGGAGCGAACATATCGTACACTGGACACACACTGATTTGCACAGTACACAGAAGTGTGAAGCAGCACGGCAGTAGCGCTGGACATCCTTCGGTTGGTTCACAGAGTTGATACGAGCTAACAGCACCCTTCCACCACCAATTGTGCCATTTGTGTAATCACCTCGTTCAAGAGAAGGCCCGGTGGCGGCAGCAGCGGCAGACAGGTTTCAGGTGGGAATTAGGCGGCAAAGCAACCGAGAGGGTAGGGAGGCAGTGGCCTTGATGATGAATCACAGCCTGTGCTATATGCTAGCAGCAGCTTCTGTCGTGTCACCTACATGAGCTCCACTACATTCGGAACCATCGTGCCCTGCTTGTTGCAATCCGTTTCATGTTGCACGCAGGCTCGATGTCGTCTGCTGGTTTGGAAACCAAGAGTGGGGATTTTTCTGGGGCAGCCAAGGTGAGCCTCGCGTCCAGCTGCAAACGAGGGACTGCCGAGCCCGGTTGAAGGCAGCGCACAGCAGCGAAAGCGGCTGTAATCCTTGAGGATTTTCGAGGCTCGGTTTTTACCATGAGGTAGAAGTTCTATTTCCGCTCACTGCCAGGTTGCAGAATTTTGGCTGGCAATTCGTCCGTTTATTTGCTTGCTTTATCCCCAAACGGTGATCGTGTTGTGGTGGATGACGTTATCAGGTGACTCATGGGATATATGACATCCAGGTGAAAGAAGAAGAGGAGGAGGAGGAGGAGGAGGGGGAGGAGGAGGAG